TTATATATATATATATATATATATATATACAAAATCTTAATTTAAACACACTTCGTCCGCTGTATGATATCGAATAATGAATTCGATTAAATGTCATAATATTATTCACATACCTAAATTAATTTAGGTTACTATATGGTGTAATAAAATAGACTCAAAATAATGTGATTTTTAATACAGCTGTCACAATAGAGGGCAAATAAAATCATTGTTTTCAAGAATCAATTGTATATTATGAAATAACTTTTGTTTGAGATATTAACGCTGGTTGGGGAATCTGAGGAACTTCCGAAACGTCCCTATTAAAGATGTTTTTGGTACTACCGCGTTTTTAATATCAATCATCATACTTTAAAAGAAACAAAATCCAGGCTTGTAATTTTATATTGTAAAAACATTCGATAACATAAAATATATTAGGAATTCCGATAGAAGAAAACAGTTGATGAACAGTACTTAGATCTCCTAAACAATTTTGGAAGTGAATTCAGTTCTTTTGTATTAATTTAAATCAAATTGAACTATAACGCTCCTAAACAATAGTTTTCTTCAGGGTGAAATCAGATGTAGTCGTCATTGTTGTAAAAAAATCAGACGTAGTCGTCATTGTTGTAAAAAAATCAGACATAATCGTCATTGTTGTAAAAAAAATCTATATTTTTATTGTTCTATTCCTTTTTACGTTTCCTGCATTCCGTAATCCTTAACTTGCATGTTAATATTTTAACTTGCTGGCAAACAATGATGAAGTACGACTGTGAAAAGATACGGAGCTGAATAAATATATGATAAGTTGATTATAAAGTGATTAAAGCGAAAATGATGGATTACTTTATAAAAGAAACAAAAGTGTTAAAGTATCCAGAATACACAAAGAAGTATTTCTTCAAACATCGCTACTGATTTACTAGTATTGTTACTGGTGATTACATTGCTAGAGAAGACCTTCATGGCAGGATTCATAATGTAAAAATACCTTTGTTGCGATTGACAGCTAAGATTGGTATGAAAATAATAAAAATTACTCACAGAAGTGCAAGGAATGGGGTGTTTTCTACCCCACTAAATATTAAAAACCCGCGAGCTTCTGAAGACTTTGCTCCCGTGGAGCCTTCCAATAGATTCCAGGTCCCTGCTCTAAAATGGCAACACATCACAGTTAGCAGCTGCTCAGATATTGTAGAGAATAATGACATTTCTTGTGAAGCGTTTTAGCTGCTAGAAAGAACAACTGAACAACAGTGGGCTGAGTGTGACTTAGTGACTAGAGTGCCAGACTGTGGTTCTGAAGTTCTTTGGTGGTCATCGCCAAGTTTACTGAAGATTTGGAAATACTTGCCTAATTATTCTATCCAGATGCTTCTTGTGAATTGGTAAATTTGTTGGCACACTACTACTTCAAGCATAAATGCCTTACTGGATGAGGATAGGTGAATTAAAATAAAGTATAGCAGGTGTTTAGAATAGGTGAATTGAAATAAAGTATAGCAGGTGTTTAGAATAGGTGAATTGAAATAAAGTATAGCAGGTGTTTAGAATAGGTGAATTGAAATAAAGTATAGCAGGTCTTTAGAATAGGTGAATTAAAATAAAGTATAGCAGGTCTTTAGAATAGGTGAATTAAAATAAAGTATAGCAGGTGTTTAGAATAGGTGAATTAAAATAAAGTAGAGCAGGTCTTTAGAATAGGTGAATTAAAATAAAGTATAGCAGGTCTTTAGAATAGGTGAATTAAAATAAAGTATAGTAGGTCTTTAGAATAGGTGAATTAAAATAAAGTATAACAGGTCTTTAGAATATGTGAATTAAAAAAACTATAGTAGGTCTTGATGCACCTTAGTTGCTGATGCCTGGTAGCAGTTATTTTCTCTCCAAGTAAGACAAGAAGGAAGACAGCTGGTTAACACCACCCACCGCCAACTATTGGGCTACTCTTTTACCTTCGGCTACGGGATTCAAATCCATGACCTGCAGATTACGAAATGTGTATTTCCACCACTAGGCCATGCTAAGCCTAACTAACGCTATAAATTATGAGATTGTCAGATCAAGTCTTTTTTATCTATTGGTAACATTTATTTTTTTGACGTTATGAATATATGAAGACTAGTCTTCTGACGTGACGTAATAAATGTGTTTAAGGCGTTAGGGAATTGTGTTATAATTTCAAGCAAAGTAAACTTCTATTTGCAATCGTCCTGATATTTTTTTTTCTCTAGAAACAGAGAAGATGGCTTGACAAGGTATATCAGTGAGTCTTTGACTGCATTAGACTATATCAATTGTTATTCTTCGTGTTGTTTTGTAAGAAAATATTTTCTGTTCGTTAGTTAAGTTTGACGTAATCACGTCCTGCAAACAGTTCTTGGTGGACATCCCATTTTTCGATATTTAACAGTTCTACGTGAACTTCAGTTTCACTTTCAAAATACCAGAGGGCGTGGTTTAACAAGTATTTTGATGAACAGTTAAACTTAGAACAGAGACAACCTTTTTTTTTTAAGAGTTGTTTTGGCTTAAAATCTTTAAGTGATGAAAATTCAATGCAGTTTTCAATTTAAATGAATTAGTATATAAAAGTTGACTACAAATTCGCTGTCATAATTTCCAATATCTGCAACTATTTCCGACTCACTACTAATATTAGCAGATTCATTAAATTTACTGTCAATATACAGATATAGCCCGGCTCGACTCGCAATCTGAGGGTCGCGGGTTCGAATCCCCGTTCCACCAAATATGCTCTCCTTTTCAGTCGTCGTGGCGTTATAATGTGATGGTCAATCCCACTATTCGTTGGCCAGGAGTTGGCGGTGGGTGGGGATGACTAGTTGCCTTCCCTCTACTAGCCTCTTTCACTGCTAAATTAGGGACGGTTAGCGCAGATAGCCCTCGTGTAGCTTTGCGCGAAATTCAAAACCAAACCAATATTTCTATTTCCCTGTTGGGTAGTTTGAACAGTTCTGTATTTATTTCTTATGCTAATTAAAGATGATAAAATCTTATTCTGGCGCTCTTACCTGGGTAATTTTGAATAACGCTTTCCCGAGAGCTTGACCATCTTCTATATTAGTGGAGTTCAATTCTGTTTCAAGGCTTTCTACCAAGTTTTTTCTGTTGCTAAACTCGTCCAATTTGATATTCTCTACCAAACTTTTTAGTTCTTTGGAATAAACAAGTAGGCTCGCTGTGGCGTTGTCAGGAAGAAATTCTAAAATAATTCTGTTGATAATTCTTTGAACTTCCTCTTTTCCAACCGTGTACTGCAAAAAAAAACAAACAAAAAAAACTTGTAGCCAGGGTTTCCGAATGTGTCTGTTGCATCAACGAAAATTCTCTGATTATTATCTATAACTTTCAATTTGAAGTATTGTATTTCAATAAATATGTTAAACTGACAGGATGTTAGTAAAGAAAAGGGAATAGAACCGTTTCTTACACGATTAGGCTCAAGTATAACGATTTTTAGAGAAATCTATATCAGTTATGTGTTATTTTTGTTCCCTGTTTGTGTTGCTAACACGAATATTCATGTAAAGTTTGTACTTACCTGTACATTCCAAGAACTGTCCACTAAAATCACATAATCATCAGTTTCTTTAGCCCGGCGAACGTTAAAATGTGGAGTGGACACTTCTGGAGGAGTGTATCCACTTGGGAGGTTACTGTGGAACAAAATACAAGAACCACATAAAAAATATATCCGGTTTTGGAGACGTTATTGTGGAATATAGCGACTATTTAATAAAAGTCATCATGATTAGATGATGCAACAATAAATAACTAATCCAAAATGGATTCTATAACTTTCTATAACCATGGTGGTGGTTATCACCAAATATTTACCATGGAAGTGGTTATCGCCAAATATTTACCATGGAAGTGGTTATCACCAAATATTTACCATGGTGGTGGATATCGCCAAATATTTACCATGGAGTAGTTATCACCAAATATTTACCGTGGAAGTGGTTATCGCCAAATATTTACCATGGAAGTGGTTATCACCAAATATTTACCGAGGAAGTGGTTATCGCCAAATATTTACCATGAAGTGGTTATCACCAAATATTTACCATAGAAGTGGTTATCGCCAAATATTTACCATGGAAGTAGTTATCACCAAATATTTACCATGGAAGTGGTTATCGCCAAATATTTACCATGGAAGTGGTTATCACCAAATATTTACCATGGAAGTGGTTATCACCAAATTTGGTGAGATAAGTGAGAAAATGTTTTGTTAAGAATGAAAGTAATTCTAACATTATTGTGTGCGGTTGTTTTTTGGGGGGAGGGATTCTTCACAGATTTAATGTTTAGTGAGGAACTTAATGAACTGAATAATTAATTCAAAAATGCAACAGGTAACAGCTATAATCAAAACGACAGTTGAATGTCCCCTGAAATTCAACAACTTTTCCAAATGATGACCCCGATACAGTGGGTCGAAACGTTGTAATCATTAAAATATGAAGGTCTTGCCTGGTGTAAAAGTTGTTGTTTTTTAAAACACCTGTTATGGCGTGAAAACCGTTTCCAAGCTACCGAACCATGATTATTATTAATTATATTTGTCATAAAGCATTATTATTATTTTAATAATTGAAAGAGTATTTAAGAATAATATATAGCTTATAAGGCCAACTGGGACACAACAAACACAGTTGTGATTGGAACACTATTTATGTAAATCATTTGTTACAACAACTTTGTTACGTTGTGAACACTTTCTCGTCAGGTTTGAAAACAACGATCACATCATAGCAAACTGTTGTTGTTGTTGTTGTAACAAATGGTTAACATAAATAGTATTCCACAGGGCCGGTTTTGTTTTGTTTGAAGTTAAGCACAAAGCTACACAATGGGCTATCTGTGCTCTGCCACTGGGGGGGGGGGGGGACACAGGGTCGGATACAGAGTTTGAGGGGCTCCCTTGACCCCCTTATTTAGCGATTCTGCCTATGGAATTTGCTAGATGCTATATTTTCCAATACCAAATATGTGACCAGCACTTGAAGGAAAACTGACAACCAATCTAATTCATAGAAAACTATTTTCAAACATTCTTTATACAGCTTATGTATTTTCAAAAACAATCTATGCAAATCGTATGGTAACATTTGAAATATATAGAGAATAGTTATGGAATGAAAAAAAATATATATCATTGTATAGGTCACTAAATGAAATATATACAAACTTTTAACCTAACTCACATTATATATTTTATAACAATGGTTTTTCTAATTCTTCTGTGCACTAAAGTCCGAGATCAAATGACAAAAATTTAGAGTTTCATACATCATAAGCTATAGATGACATTGTCAGCCATTATAATCTTTCTTGAGACATGGGACAATAAAAGTAAGCTTTAATAAGTTTAAAACGAGAAACTGGAATAGTTAGGACTAGCAGTGTGTCACATACACATTTGAGAAGTCCTCATGTTAGTCATTTTCTGTGATAATTTTCAAGGCACAGTTTATATATTGGTATTATATGGTATAATAAGTTCTACGTGTATCTCTAATTCATTGATGTCGCTTGAACTCTTGAAGTTAAGTTTAATCGTAAGATCAACACAATGCTGCGCCCCCTAGTGGCTAAAACTACAAACAGATTGCAATGCTGCGCCCCCTA